ATTATACACATATACATATATGTAAATGCTATATTGTTGTTCTGTACATTTGACTAATTGTCAATGTACTTAAGCAATTTCGAAACTACGTATATATGTGCCTACATACATATATGCTTGTGCACGACCAGCAGTGACATAGATCGCCACGGGACCAACAGCAGCTTGCTTACTTTAAAATAGTATTAATTGTCGTTTATGCAGGCAGATGTACGATGATATGTACCTGTATATTGCAAACTGCAATTAATTCCAAAAAATGCCTACACCTGTAGTGTAATTTCGTTCAAAGCAATGACCAATTACTTAAATATGAACAGTTGGCCTGTATCTGGCTGCTAATCTTAGCCGCTAAGATATCTGAAAAAATTATACCATACTGGATATATCAAACTAGATAGCTATTCATCCTTATGGGCTGCCAATATGTTTAGGTCGTGGAAATGCAACTTGAATTGCCTTGGACGGCAAGTGGTGATCGCGTTGGATTTTGTTTTTTATAATTTTTGAACCAGGAATCTAGTGGCGGCCTTTGCGAAAATTTCAAATGTTTCTGGCTAATAAAATTCGACAAAAGATTATATGTATGTATAAGTTGGTTGACTATTCAATTCATCAAAAAAGCTCTGCTGACACAATACAAACTTTGGGAATTCAGATATTTTCTACTACTTACTAGAATGTGCAAAGCACTGCATTGCATAGCCTCTGCACTCCTTTGGAGCCAACATTCTATTCTATTGATCATTCTGGAAAACAATTTGCGGAATGCGAAGCTCTGAAGCTGTGGAAATTATCCGGCTGGAAAGCCAAGATTCGAAGGATAATAACCTCCAAGTGCCCCAAGGGTAAACTTTACAAAATGTCATAAAATATCTATGCCACATAGAGAACTTTGATCAAGGGGAGCTCCTAAAGAAAATAGATTGCTCCACTTCTACACCGATGGTTCAAAACTTAGGAACAGCGTAGGAAGTAGAATATTCTCAGTACATTTGGGTCTGGAAAAATCCCTCGTTTTTCAAGCTGTTGTTACTGCAATATAGGAGGCGGTAAAACGGAGTTCGAATAGGAGAAGCCATTGTAACAACTGCGGACTGCAGTGGATTCCGGAGTGCCGGAACATACGAGGCACCAACACAGACCAGGCGAAGAGGAGAGGATCCACTTTGCCAGTCCTGGAATAGCTTAGGCATGTCGCTCGCTACCTACAAATCGGGAGTCGATTGAAGATGACTCCCGCTTTGGACGACCCGTCGAGGCAACCACATCAGAAATCGCAGAAAAAGTTGAAAAGCTTGTAGTGGAGGATGCCTGTCTGAAGAAAGAGTAGTTATCTGCATTAGTTGGAGTATCAGGTACTACAATTTTGCGAATCCTAAAAGATAATTTGAATATGACATGAAGTCAGTTCAAGATGGGTACCCAGAACGCTCACACCGCCTCAGAAAAAGCACAGATTTTGGAGCGGGTTGTCACTGGAGATGAGACATGGAAACAGGAGTCCAGCAATGGCATAAAAAACACACCACCCCCAAAAAAATTCAAAGTGTCGGAGTCGGCACGAAAATTGATGGCTACTGTTTCTTTGGGATTTTGAGGGAACATGGCTCATCGATTATAAAGAAAAGGGAGATTACTATGCAACCATATTAAAAAATTAAAGGAGGCCATCAAAGAAAAACGTAGAGGAAAATTGACCAAGGGTATGTTGCTGTAGCAAGACAACGCGCCGGTTCACAAGAGCAGACTTGCAATGGCTCTGAATGACTTCGAATCGTTGGTTCACCAACCGTACAGTCCAGACTTGGCCACAAGTGACTTGTAACTGTTTCCAAATTTAAAATAAGAGTTAATTTTCGGAAGAAAATGAGGTCGAGGCTCAGGTTGAGGCGAAAGATAAAAATGGAAAAACTATGTATTTAGATTAACGGAGATTATATTGAAAAGGAAAACTAAATCTATTGTTTTATCTCATTTATAACCTTTCCATTCAACAAATTTTTGTCAAACACCATGAAATAGTGAAATAGGTGCGAATACATTATGTATATAGAAAAATATACTTAATAAGACAGTTACAGTTTCTACGCTGGGCTATTTATGCATATTTAAAGGTAGATATATGTTTACCTATGTCTGTGTGTTCCATTGTGTATGTAAATATGTACATATTTATGCGACCACATTTGCTCTACTTTATGCCACAATTGAACTCACTAATCCAGTTGTAGTCCGCAAGCGCCGTCAATGCGGTTTTTGTGTGCCACGTTGCCGCATGAAAATCGAGCGATCGACAACCGCACTCATTCACCGACGCACGCAAACTAGATATGCACCTACATAGCTTGAACACCTACACAGAGAATTATGCGCGCCGATATTATTGTTGCATTGAGCAAATTTCTCCTAACTGTCTAACTAATGGCAGTTCGCCGCATTTCAACTACGATTGAACACCTGCACATGCTACATTATATCTATGTATTTACTTATGTACGGACTTTAGACTGGGTCGGGAAATAAGTTTGCACCTAAACTCACAAATTTGAAGCAAATTTTCGTTCTTGGAGAGTCCTAAATCGCAGTTCCTTGATAATGTAGGCAGACTGACAGAATTGAAAATATGTGGTCATTTCAAGTCGCTGCAACTGTTCTTTTTATTATTGTGGGGTGCTCACACTACTCTGGTTATGTAATAAAAAATTATTCTATATGTACTTTGTTGTTGTAAACTAAATGAACAAAATAACCACATAACCAGATAACATGATAACCAGANATTCTATATGTACTTTGTTGTTGTAAACTAAATGAACAAAATAACCACATTACCAGATAACGTGATAACCAGACAGGTGTAACCACTCACACTGTATTGTTATGCTGCCAATAAAAAAATTTGTGAAATAAAATTACTAAAATGTATACTTTTTTATGAAGTAAGTAGCTTAAGGAGTTCCTCTGAGTCGACAGGATCATCAAATGAAGTTTAGTACTTAAAGATATCAATTAAGCGATGAGTCAAATAAAAAATTGAGTTAAAAACTTCGATTTGGGCTATTCATAGTACTCGCTAAGTACGAAATTTTTAATGGTGACCAAATTCTATCAACGTAAGCTTTCAAATCAGGGAACTTTTTTCTTTTATGTGGGCACCAACGTAGTCTAATGCACATGTATGTATGTATGTATATAGATTTAATTAAATGCGCGCTTGATTGTACGCTTATGCCCATTTGCGCAGGTGGACATTCGGCTTGCCGTGTTGTGCACAGCTTTTGACTTTGAAAAGCTGCTGGCATTACTATGCTAATTTGTCGCTCAATGCGGCAAAACGACGTATTTATAATTTTAATGCCATAAAGTATGGCCTCCACCAGACTTGTACAGAGCAGGTTGGTGTTTAGATAGCCAATTAATTTAGTTTTAAGTGATGTTTTTCCTTTGTGGCTATAAATTTGCAAGTATTAAATAATGAGAAGGATTATACACATATTCGAGCTCTAATTACATAGATTTGAAAAAGTGAATGAATCAATGATTATGTGAATATTTAATACTAATACATTTAATACTAAGTAACTATTTGTGTGGCGGCTTAAGCTCCACGCTCTTTATCTGCGCTGGTCAAAAATAGCGTATAACAATGGATTTTATAAGGAGCTTTTATACGCAAAAGTAGGGAAAACCTAGCCGTACGATGTTTATTAGAGCTGCCACCTGCATTGAAATCAAATAACGTAGAAAGTTAAAAATTAATGTTTTTAAATATTTTCACATAACAAAGTGAAAAAAATTATGTCGAAACATGTACATATGTATGTACATTAGGGTGTTAAAAAAATAAGTCTAGAATTGTTCTAGTCCGATAAAAATTATATCCCGGTTATTTTATTTTGCATTCAACAAATATTTAGAGGTCGCTCAAAGTGCAAAGTTTTCCATGAAATAGTATGGAATTCTTAGAAATCAATATTTATCGATCGGAAAACTTTGTTTCTCTTCAGGAAACTTTCAATAGCAATACCCAAACGTTTAGTTACTATAAACTATTTTCTATTATTAACTATTTTTTATAGGACCCCTAAAAACAAAAAAAAAAATGCAATGGGGGATCCTCAAAAAATCGGTAGTATTAACAAATGGTATATAAACAATTGGTTCTCTACAGGAGGATCCAGAGTTTTATGGTCAAAACATATTGATTTTTAGAATTCTATATCATTACTACGAAAACTTGTTTTTTTCCCCCATATAAAATACATAAAAAACTTTAAACGCTTTGAGCGACCTTAAAATATTCTTTAATTTCAACAGAAAAAAACAACAGGGGTATAATTTTTTCGGTATGGAACAATGCTAGGGGGTGAGAACATTAAAATACCGACTTTACCTTTTCACATGTATTTTTGGACCACCCTAATGTACATATGTACATATTACATAAAATATCAGTAAAAAATTGTACAACATTCAAATTCACAAAACTCTAAATAGATCTCGAAAATTCGCAAACGTATCGAAAAATCCAGTAAAATGTGAATAGATATTTAAATTTAGAAAGTGTCAATATAGATACCGAATAAAGAAAACGCCTAAAATCTGAAAAGTTCTAAATAACGCCGAACATTTTATAAATTCCACTTAAATTGCACTTTACTTACATTCTTTTACTGTGCAATAGTTCACAGGCAAAGTAAACACAATAAAATAGACCAGCCGCACTCTACCGCAGAGCCCGGGTTCTCAAGTCCAGTTTCCGACCAACATCAAAAAATAAAAAACAAATTGTTTAGCAATTTTTTTTCATATAAGTATGTAATTAAATTTCGGAAAAAGTGTCAGGTATGAATTGTCAATGTTTACATAACTGCTACTTAAAAGTAATTAATTTAAATCGTAATTTCCTTATTAAGATAAAATTTTATAATAAAGATTTATAATATTTAAAGTTTTATTATATGTGAATGCATCTTTCTTTCTGCCCACAGAGCCTTTCTGCGCGATGTCGTCGAAACTGCCAACATATTCATTAAAATGATGGAGAAATTCTGCAAGGACACCGTGTTTTTGCAGGAAAAGAAGCGTTCCAAGAAGCATGGCCGCAAGCCAAAAGCAAATAAAAAACCGGAACCCAAACCACAAATTACAGAGGTACGTACGTAAATACATACATACATACATACTATACATGTGCATGTTGTATGTAGAGTAGAAATACAAAGGAAGCTGCGGGCATTACGGGCCAACCAAAAATTTATTTACAGAGAATTACAAACTGCTGGGATGAAAAAATTCAGTGAACAACTATTAAAGTTAATTATACTACGGCAGCCTTCTGGAAAAAAAAATGATTTACATAAATTTTTTAAACCCTTTTGTACGGCAACGTCGCTCAATTAGCTCACACTTTTTTTTAAATATATATTTTGTTTTAACTTTCCACGCAAATGCACTAAATTGTCAGTGCAGACAATTTACGCCGCATTTCCGTTCATTCCCTTCGCCATTTTATTGACGAAAAGTCGTAAGCTTTTTTGCAAAATTTATAACGAGACATCAAGTTTAATTGAGTGAAAATAAAGCAAACTCAGCGGCAATTGCTTAACAACCGGTTGCCCGAGAGCGGTGAACTTCACATAGTATGCACACAAGTAAGTAGATATGTATGTACCCTGCAGGGAAAGCTACTATTTAGTTGTGAAATAGAATTCTACCAGTTTGCGTTTCAGCCCAACTAGTTTGCGTTCTATCCTTTTTCAATGTTAGCGACTGGCATTTTTAACATGGCGATGTCCTACGAGATGTCAATTGTCCGCTCCTGCATCAGCACCCTACCACTAGAAAATACTAGTAGCATCATACTAGTTGACGGGATAGACTGGTAGTCTATCTAGTTGGTAATTCATCCTCCGTGAAAAGCATAAGTATGCGTTTTTGCTCGCGGCGCTCCAACAATCGCAATGGCCGACAGAGCAAAGCACTTTCGTGGTATGCCCGAGGTTCCAAGTTCAAGTACTTTACTTTATTTATTTTAATTTTTTATTTTATTTATTTTTTATTAATTTTTCATTAAAAACGGCCTCAAGCTCAATATAAATTGTTGAATATCTTCTATATACCTATATAATACGCGAAGCGATTTTTTGTCCAGGTTATCAGATCTACCCCGTTCGTTTGATTTTCTAAAATAAGATATCAAATTTAAGGGCTTCGGCTGTAGATGTGCAATAAGGCTTTACTTTTTCGAAAAGAGTTACCACCTGTTAAGAAATTAAGCTCAAATTATTTAAAAAGTTAAAACGATTGTTACAATATATAAGGGTATCAACCAAAATGGCGTTAAAAGGCTTTATATCTTAACTACGTTAGAAGGGTTGCCACATGTCTAAAAATATTCAATTTCCATTTAAGGAATTCAGTAAGTGAATAAGTTATTACCATATAGGTGTCAGAAAGAGAGAGATTTACGAAGGTAGTAGGTTTGAAAATATTCTAAACAGGGTTGCCACCTATTTAAGAAGTCATTTATTTAAGAAGTGGGATGAAATTATTTTATGCACAAGTTATATGAAACATTACAAATCGGTGTCAAATTCCTTTTTTCTGAACTATATTTAGGAGAGTTGCCACAAATTTTAAAAAATTAAATTCAACTTAATTCATCAGTTACTTGAAATATTTATAACAATGTCACCTGAAATATTTATAACAATGTATCTAAGGAAATTTTAGTTCGAAAATAATTTTGAAAAGGGTTGCCGCCTGTTTTGAAAGTCGAACTTAGTTTAATTATACACCAGTTATGTACATGAAATTTTAAAATATGGGTACCAAACGAACGAGAGTAAAGAAATATTTATTTTGAGCGTTTAGGATTTTTTTAGGGGGTCAGAAGAGGGTTGCCACCTCTTGAATAAATTGAATTCAAATTATTCAATAAACTAAATTGATTGTCTAAGGATGGGTATCATTCCAAATGTGTTTGAAAATAATTTATATCTGAATTGTATTTAGAAGAGTTGCCATGTATTAAAAAATCAAATTCAAATAAAAAAAAAGTTTTAGTTAGAAAATACTTTTGAAGGGGCTGCCACCTATTTTAAAAGTCGATTTTGTTCTAGTTATAAAGAAGTTAAATGAAATATTGAAAAAGTAATATCAAACGAGTTTTTGGAAAGCTGAAAGCTGATAATATTTTTAATTAGGGTTTCCACCAATTTTTTTTAAGGTCATCAGATCTGCTCCGGTATTTCGAATTTCCGAAATGAGAAGCCAAGTTAAAGAACTGGGATTGTGCAATAAGTTTGATTTTTTAATTTGTTAATTATATTTATATCTAAATAATTATTTTTACTTACATTGATTTAATTTGAAAAATCTTAACCACCTACCAGCGTACTTGAATTTGCTATCTCAGAACCAGAACCGGTAGTCTTCAAGCGAAACCAAAGCCGACATTTGTAAGAAAAGGAATTAATTGCGTTTTATTTTTGGCTTTGGCAATCTAAAGGCAGATGTCGCTGAATGCTTAGGTTCGAACTGGTAGGCCATCGCTTCAGCACATACTAGTTAATGAACTAGTATTTTTACTGACCGGTTTGGCTTTTCACTGCAGGGTATGTAAGTATGCACGCACGCATCTGTGCACGTTGTTGGTAGCTGTGGGGCCTGGCCTCCACCGCTTTTGGTCCTCTGTATTTTAAAATTGCGCATCACTAGCTTTAAGCTCAAATTTTAATAGAGCCATCGCTGCGAAAGCCTCTGCCATAGTACTTCGCTTTTAATAAATTTCCTGCAACATATACTTACAATTTATACATTTATATAAGTAAATAACTGTACAAATGCAACTACACATACATTTATCCTATACATACATACATAGATATACTTATTCCTTTATGTCCATACCAACATTTATTTATCACCAACGCAATGACTTGCCATAATGGCCGACGCGACGTCGGCATCGTGGTCCTCTCTGACGCACCGGGCGGATTGATTGCCACGATGCGCAGTCAGCTCGCGGATTTAAAAACTATCGTCCATATTTCTTTCTGTGCTGTTTGCAGCCCCTCTGTCTACTATCTATTTGCTTGCCCTGTCATCTGTGCCGCTTGGCCTGCTGAACTTTCTCATTGGGGCGATCTGTTGGCAATCCAATCAGAAGAGACATTCCATTTTGCTACTTTTCTTCGGTCACTTCGCTACATTTAACTATTTTTTGTTTGTATTTTTACACTTTGTTCACCATCGCTTGCAGCTGTGTCCTTTCATGTTGCCCACACTTTTACATATTTGCGTTTATATGAGTGAGCATTATGGTGGTCCAAAATAAGTAAAGTCGGAATTTTAATGCTCTCACCCACTAGGATTGTTCTATATCGAAAAAATATACCCCTACTTTTTTTAAATCAAAAAATATTTAGAGGTCGCTTAAAGCGCTCAAAGTTTTCCATGTATTTTGTACAGAAAAAAAAAATAACTCTGGCTCTTTTCAGGAGACTCCCAGTAACAATACCCAAATATTTATTTAACTATTTTTTAATACTAAAGATTTTTTATTTTTTCACCTATTTCATTTTCTGGCATTTTCTGGAGGTTTTGGCGAACCTATAAAATATATTTACTAAGAAAAAATGGTTAAATAAATAATTGGGTAATATTATTGGGAATTTCCTGAAGAAGAAGAGAGTTTTGCCAATCGAAAAATGTTGATTTTTAAGAATTCTATACCATTTCTAAGAAAAGTGGGTTTTGCCAATATAAAATACATGGAAAGCTTTGAGCGACCTCTAAGTATTTTTTGATTTCAAAATAAAAAAAGGGAACCCTTTTTCGGTATCGATCAATCCTAGGGGGTGAGAGCATAAAAAATCCGACTTTACTTTTTCACATGCATTTTTGGACCACCCTAGTGAGCATACATATGTGCTTTACCTACTAGCAATATTCTCGCTCGCTCAGCACGACTTCCTGTACGCCAACACTGCGCAACGTTGTGTCAACTTTTTCCCACGTTTTATTTGCCTCTTGTCGCGTTGACTGGATATTATTTATTTTATTGATAAATTCAAATATTAACTGTAATAATAGTTGTGTCCATTTAGTGCTGAGGTAGCGGCGCGCCGAAAAATACGCACATCTGGAGTTGAGACACATGCGATGCGGGTGAACATTCGGACGCAGCCTGTTGAAATTTATAGTCATCTCGCTAGCAAGCGCGTCCAAAAAGTTACCCTTTTCCGTTGTGACCCAGGATATCTTCATCGAATATTTTTCTCTCAGCCAAATAAAAGCAAGCCTTTAAAAATTACATTTAGGCGCGAACAAATAAAGAACTTCGCAATTTAAGTAAATTCTTTAACAATTGGCTTAACTTGCCTTGCCAGCCAAATTTGTTATGAAATAACGTAACTTCTACGCTAAGACCAGAACATTAACGCTAATGAAGCATTTGAATTTCATAAGCTCTGTGAAAATGTATCAACACATAAAATTCTAAAGCCTCCTATTTTGATAGTGAAACCTGAAACCTTTGAAAACAGATAGGCTAGGTTGATTGTGGCAGACCCCGCAAGGGGGGCTCACTAGACATTAACAGTCCATTGTGTTACCTCATTACGGAATTTAGTTAGAACGGTAACTATGGGCTCTCTGTGTTAAGCTAAGAGAAGCGCTGGGTTCCCAAAACAAAGTTACGCAGGCAGCTGTTGTCGACTCCGGAGAGCTTTTCGGGAGTGCTAATGGAATGCGCACCCAAGTGCTTCAACCTTAGTCTGGTGAAAGCGGGGCAGCTGAGAAGGAAGTGCAGGGATGATTACACCTCGTTTTCCAAGCAGCTGCGACTATAGGGTTCCATTATGATAATAAGTCGCACCCCGTAAGTTACTATAGGACAATGTCCTGTAAGAATCGACAGCTGGTAAGAATAGTCAGCTGCAGAAGCTTCTTTAACCGCCCGCTGTTAACAACCGGCCAGAAAGACTAGCCACTTTGCTTGTCGGGGTTTTTTCCCAGCGCTCGCTGTGCCGACTCTGAGTTTTAGAGAGAGGCCAAGCATTCCCCGACCAGTCTTGATCGCACCATCAGCGATCTCAGTGCCATGATTTCCGCCTGGCTGTCAGATTAGATATTTACCACCCTAGTCG